GAAGCGAAGATCTTGACCATCGTTCATTTAAAATGACCGTTTTAAATGACCTTCCGATTTTTTTTCCGACAGGAATAGGTCGAATTTTGATTGAAAATGGTCATTTCACCGGAGAAATTGATTATTTTCACTGAGATGCGTCATATTTTGTTTGAAGATGGGCATTTTCATAAGAGAGATTGATTATTTTGGCGAAAATATGACATGTTTCGATTGAAAATGGGCATTTTTATGAGAGAAGTTGATTATTTTGACATAAATATGTTGAATTTTGATTGCAAATGTCCGTTTCCACCCGAGAAATTGATTTTTTTTACTGAAATATGGCATGTTTATATTGAAATTGGGCGTTCTCATAAGGTAAATTGATTATTTTGACATAAATCGGTTGAATTTTGATTGCAAATGTCTGTTTCCATCCGAGAAATTGATTATCTTGGCTGCAATATGATACGTTTTGAATGAGAATGCGTATTTTACGTGAGAATTGATTATTTTGACGCAATTATTTGATGTAAATGTTGCAAAGTTGTGCGTTAGACGATTATTCACATATTTATTATTATCATTATTCACACATGAAGTGTAGCATATTGTGTAATTTTATTAGCATACAAGAGATAAGGAAGATTCCGTCAGTAAGCTACACGTCATGCACTGTAGTGGTGAATGGTTATTCATATATTTGTAAATACTGAACAGAAAGTACATTAAATGGTACAATTTTATTTTATTTCCACACAAAAAATAAGATGAATCACATCAATTATATATATTATGTAATTAATGAGTTCAACTGATACACTGAATATTCCTTTTCTTTATCAGTATCAGAGAAATGTCAAGTGTTGAATGTATTAAGACATTCCATCGTATGATGACTTTATAATTCAAACTACAGAATCGTAAACAGTTTCACCACGTTTATGTTTTTTCATGATTGGATAATCATTCAAAAACGAAACTGGTACGATAGCAATGCTATCAAGACTGAGAGGCTCTTCTAACGAACGTTCAATCAAATCATTCCGTTCATGCTTTTCTTCGATCGATGCATGTTTGTCTTTGTATGACGTACCATATTGCAAGGTTTGCTGTTTTTGTAGTTGCAAATTTCACATCGCAGAATGCTGAATTTAGTAGAAATTGATGGATTCATCACTGGAGATGGTCCTTCGCTTTTGTCCATGGTGTACTTCATTTCGGTGTTGATTGCTGATGGTGGTGGTGGTGGTAATGGTGGTGATGTTGACGATGTTGAAGTGGTTTTCTTAGAATTTTTTGAATTTATTTTGACGGTTTTTCCTTCGCCAATGCTCGATGGGTTGGAAATTCTGAGAGTCGACCGTTCAGCGACACTGATAAAAAGATCAATGAAGCAAGACTATAATGAGATTAGATTCAATCTGAATTGAATCTTTTCAGTTCCATAGGAAAACCTTTCTGTTAGTCTCGCGACATGTAGGACACAGTTTAATTTTAGATCTATCGTCCTTTATGTTCCCCACAAAATATTTGCATAATTTCAGTTCAACTGGGTGATGGTTTCGTTCATGGTGTAAATCAAAAGCATGAAGATCTGGAAATAATTCCAGACAATAGCCACATTTATAGCAAAAGTCAAGCATTGACTGGGCCATTATGTAACAGTGATTCGATGGAACCAATTTTGGGAATTCATGTTTTGCATAGGAAAAAAAACGAACTGATTATTATGGACGAAAGCCGAACGGTCTCCTCTCGAAATTTTTCATGACAGTCCCTTTACCATAAACAGCTGCATACGTCTGAAATTACGGTATGATGATGGTCAAAATCTTCGTTTCATATATAGGGTTTATATCTCACGTATTTCCACAAAAGCTTTCTTTAATCACTTTTTTTCCTTTGTAGATACAGACAAAGCCTACTATTTGTGATCTGACGTTTATAACAGAAAATTAAGACAAATTCTCTTTGTGTTCTCATTCTCATTCTAACGTTTCCGTTGAATGACACCAGTAAAAGGCCGATGGTACGTGAAAGTGGTGGGAATGTGTGAATGTGTGGGCGTATTCCTTGTCTTCTTTATAATTTGATGCTAATTTACACTAGTGATCTAGTGTAAATTAGCATCAAATTATAAATCAACATTTTCGTCGAATGGCACCAGCAAAGGGTCCTAAATGGTGTGGGAAAGTTTGAATGTGTGGACGTATTCCAGGTGGCCAAGTGCTTTGTAGCCGCGGACAAAGCTTGCTGTTTCTGATCTGACGTTTAGATAATAAATTAACATAAAATTATAAACCGTTCCTGAATTTTCCACTTCTTTGTGTCTTTGTTGCAAATTCGTTGAAAGTGCGCTTGACAAAAAATTTGTAAGCGGGCGAGTCGGATTTGAAAGTGAGCGTGGCCTAAATGCGGGCTTGGCGTTCCACCGTAATTTGTGGGCGTGGCTAGTTACCGTAGTTAACTAGTCTCTGAGGTACTACTTACAGCTGCTATGGCACTATAGGGGTTACCATCTTCAAGCTGACGGTACTCTCGGGTTTGCCCGGTAATTTATCAGTTTCTCTACATTGTTCGATTCCTCAAAACCTCTAGATTCAGAATTTCATATATTTTGCTGAGCAATTTCGCTTACATTAGGAGATATAACTATTCAGAGAAATAGCTGATTTTCTGGACGTATCTCACATGCTCGGCAGTGCCCATTTCAATACATTATATCTCTATTGATCATAGCTGTATGAGGGTCACTATTTTCAGAGTAGTGCTGGTCGCAGGTTTACTCTGAAATGTTTCGGTTTTTTACACCATCGGATTTTCCAAATTTGTAGTTTTAGAAAAGTGTATGTATATGTTGTTGAGCGATTTTGTCGATGTTCAGAGAAATACTTTATTTTCTGATGATATCTCAAGTAGCACAGCGGCGTTCATTTCAAAATACATTGTAGTGCAATTGATCAGTCTCTATATTACATTAGCTCTGTCATTTTTCAAACCCTCTTAAACTTGCCCAGAATCATTGTAATTTTTAGGCACCGTCGGATTTCCCAAATCTCTAGTTTCAGAAAAGTGCATATGTTGTCGAGCGATTTTGCTTACGCTCAGAGAAACAACTCATTTTCTGAAGGTAACTCATTCAGCTCGACTGCCTCGGAACTTTAGCCACATATCATTAACCATTCGTTTATTAGCTTCAGCAGTTTAAAGCTCGAAAGTTACAAGGTCAATTCATGTGGTCATT